AGGTAAAAAGCCATTACCTTGATCACTTGTTTGTTAGATCTCTCCATTAGGGAGTTTATTGCCATTTCTAGCTTCTTTTCGAGTCATTAGTTGTTTGAGCATGCTTTGAAGATAATACTTTAGATCTGGATACTACTAAGTCCCTTAGGCCTAAAGACTCAAGCATTATCAAGCTTTAGGTAACTTCCATGACTCAAACCCCTTGTTGAGCTTTGTTTTGGCAAACATAGCCCTAGATGTCATGTATGGACGTAAAGCTTGTAGCTTTACGTGGTATTTCAGCCTTAGAAGGCTAGATCTAGAGTTTGGGGCCTTAGTCTCGCTTAAAAGTGTCTGAATGAGTGATTGGGCTGAAAGAACTCGACAAGTTGGTTAGGGTTTTCCCCCATTATCTTGGACGATGTACAAACTCGACGAGTTGGTGAGACAACTCGGCGAGTTGAGTTGGATTTTCCCAATTTTTCTGAGAACCGAAGGAACTCGACGAGTCATATAGATGCACTCGATGAGTTGGGTCAACATAGACTGTTTACTTGAGTATTGACTTCCATTGACTTTTAGGGTTTGGTCAAGTTATGGACTTAGGAGACCATGGAGGGGTAAAATGGTCTTTCACCCTTTCCGAGAATTAGTAAACGAATTAGCTTAACATCTTTGGAGTTGTTATTATAAATTGTTAATTAGAGATAATTATGATATATGTAGGCGGAGTCTAGACCGACCGTTCAGTACGAGACATACTTGATTTATTTACGAAGTGAGTCTTCTCACTATACTTACCTGATTGGTAATACAGTGTAATCGGGGGGTCTTATCTGAGTTATTGATCGGAGGGTCTTATGTGCTTATACTGAGTTATGTGATATTATGCATTATGTCTTTGTGATTTATGTTGTATATTATTCTGTGTCTTATTGAGTTAGGACCAGAGGGTCCAAACCGAGTTGTGAGACTGGAAGGTCTTGATTGAGATACATGACTGAAGGGTCCAACCTGAGCTGTAAGACAGGAGGGTCCTCACCGAGACACATAACTGGAGGGTCCTTATCGAGTATAGCCATGAAAGGCTAATTATTTGTGTGTGGTATTTTGGGGAACTCACTAAACTTTGTGCTTACAGTGTTGTGTGAAATGTGTTTCAGGTACATCTCAGGATCGCGGGAAGGCACCGACATGATTGTACACACCAACTAGTTGATTGTGCTTTTGAGGATTCTGAGATATTATCAAACGATTTATTGGTTTGTGTTCAAAACAACTTATAAATTTTGGTTTGAGAAATGTTAAACTGTGTTTTTGTGTGGATTTAAAAATGAAAATTTTATTTGAAAATTTAGAGTGTTACATATATATTGAGTAATTATACACATGGTGACTAGTATATCCATGTGACTATATTCTATATAAATATATATTGAGATATATGAAAGACATTAGAGATCTCTGATTGAGTTTATGTTGAGCCTTTCATATAATTAAAGTGATTATTATTATGTACTTTGTTGTTAAGGATTACTCACTAAGATTTTTGTAGCTTATCCTTTTTATTGTTGTGCGCCTTGCAGGTAAAATTATTAATGAAGTGAGGAACGATAGAAAAGGTGGGTAACACCTGACTCAAATCATTGTTATTTATTTCTTTGATGCGATCTTGTTGAGAACCACATGTGCTGAATTGTTAGTATAAGTGTACACTGATGTTTTTTACAAATATAAAGTGAAATTTTTTCGATGTATCGTGTGTTAAAAACCCTGATATTACAAGTATTCCCTTCACATTGATCTAAGCAAAACCTATCTTTTACCTTAAAATTACTCGACCATGGCTGAAGTTGAGAAAACCAAGAATTCACACCAACACAATTGTGAAAGTAATTATGAGCCTTTACAGAGCTGAATTCCACCGACGACCATAATTCACCTAAAATACTTCAAGAAACCATCATATAATTCCTCATTACCACATATGGTATGTAAGTTTGGTAATGACCAAAAATATGTAACACATCCAAAAAGTACCAAAAAAATGTTTCACGTTAAACAACCATGTATCAATCAAAATCACCACATCATCGTCGACATGCTTAGGAGCTTTATCAACATAAACTTCTTTCAAGGAATCCACATATGATATCCTTGCGGTTTACCATTGTTAACAACATGAACAATCGAAGTAGGATGATGTTGTTTGTATACCCGATGCTTATCATTTTGGTCAAGTCATGTGACATTGCCAAACAATCTCAAATTTTCAATCCAAATGGTGCAGACGTTCGTGGTCAAAACATCCATATCACCAACCTTAAAAAATTTGACAAACACAAAGGGTTTACCATGTTTGATAGCCATTATGCAATAAACACATAACACACTATTCCAAACTTGGCACAAGTATTTCATAATTCATGGGCATAAAATGAGAAAGGGAAATTGTGACAAAGATTATGTGAGATGTGTTGTACCCGTGTTCCTTTAGTCATTGTTGTTTTAGATTGCATGCTTAATCGATAGAAAACACTACCATTATTCTATGCATGATGATTAGGGTTATAAACAAACTGAACATTCAACGAACCGTTCGGCGAAAAATTCGTTTATATTTATTTATTTAATAAATGAACGAACGTGAACATAAATTTCCGTTTATTTAGTTACACGAACGAACATGAACAATGGTTTCGTTCATTCATTTATGTTCGTGAATGTTCATTTATGTTCATTCGTTTAAGTTTATTTATGTTCATGTATGTTCAAATATTATCTATTGCATTACTATATTATATGTTTGTTTATGTTTATATATGTTTAATTGTTGTTGTTTATTTTCATTCGTTTATGTTCGTTTAGCATGCTCACGAACATAAACGAACAAACATGAACAATATAATTTGTTAAATGGACGAAAATGAACAAAAAAAGTCGTTTATTTATCCGTTCGTGTTCATTCGTTTGCTCAGCTAACTTAAATGAACGAACATGAACAAACCCTTGTTTGTGTTCGTTTGATTGATTTACAACCATATTGATGATAAGGGCATCGATTACCCATATCGAATACACTAATCGATAACCAAAATCAACAGAACTCACGTGTGAATGTGAAATTGAACTCTAAGTTGCCTCAGATAACTTCTAAACTGTCCCGAATAGATCCAATTTAAATACCCTTTTTCTTTTCGGATTAATCTATAAATATGGCAAAGCGAAACCATATCGGGATACATCAACATCAAGTTTTCTCCATTGCTTCTTTGTTGACGTTCATTTCCACCAAACGACATCAAATCGTGAGGTTTACAACACATTCCTAAACGAGCACATTATAAACATTTAAATATACAGAATTTTGTGTGGTCCTCTAGTCATTACTCGCAAAGTTCTTTTTTAATATTGTTTACGATTGTACAACTTGCTCCAAATCTCCAATACATCATATATTCACTTCGTCACAATTTGCATTTTGACATAATTTCATTGATAACTTTCATTTTTTTCTCTAATACAACATTATAATCCAAAAAAATTACCAATATATAACAATATCATTAAAACATCAATCCTTATCACATCATTTGCTTCAACTTTAAATCTAAAACTTTTAATAACAATAACAAAGTATCCATTTAATATATATATATATATATATATATATATATATATATATATATATATATATATATATATATATATATATATATATATATATATATATATATATATATATAACTTGAAACACATACAATTAAATCATTTTCTTGTTTTTGTTTTCTAATGTCTTTCTATTACTTTTTTGACCATCAAAATTTATGTTTTTACTTTATACGTTTAACATGTTTATAACCAAAAAAATCAAAATAAGAATTATAAGTTCAACAAAAAAAATAAAAATAAAAATAAAAATAAAGTTGTTGAATTGAATGAAATAATTAGATACCTACAAGGAATCTTATATGCACCCCCATTCTCTGTCTCCATGTCGCTCTCCTTCTCTTATCTCATCACATGGGAAGCAATGAGCAGATGCTTGTATTCCCTCCAGCAAGATTGCTTGTAATTTCAATTTTCAACTACAAATAATTGCATTTAGTGTTTCATTTTTGTTCCTTCATGTCCACCGATCAATCAAATTCCCAAATATTTTCATAAATCCGCTGTTCCATTCCCATATTCCTCTAAATCCGCAAATCTTGCCCTAATTTTGATATCCAAGGTAATTATTCGTATTTTAGCCTTAATCTCGCGTAATCAATTATGTTTGAATCCGAATTCTGATAATCACTCTTCGATTACTTTAATTCTTTTAGTTCTAACAATCATTAAGTGTGTGTATATATGAATTACGTATATTTCGTAGCTTCTAATTTTGCTTTTTGCTGATTTGAAGGAAAGGGAACGTTTCGGTGGAGTCAAGCCGGGAAATTTGGGGTTGGGCGGTTTTGAGAAAAACTGGAAGAGTTGTTCTTAAGAGATGTTGCTGGCTTTGAATCGTAATGGGGTTTATTTCATCAACTGTTTCTTCCATTTCTCTGAATGGCATCCATTGGAGTTCAGCAAATAGCAGATTAATTAGGGCTTGATTGCCTCCTTCCTGTAATTTCATAGGTCAGCATAATCGAATCCACACAACTTTTTGCTATTTCTGAAATTCGATTTCTCTTCTCAGTTCTAAACTCAAAACTTCACTTAATTGAAATGATATGATCAACTAAATATCAATGAGATTATCAAAATTTTCAAGGAAGTTATATGAAAATGAAAGATAGCACGCCTGTTTTAAAAAGTCAATGCTCAATTATTTATTCCTTCATTCTCTTGTTTTGGAATAAAGGAGTTTATTTTATTCCAGAGTTATTGCTTGCTTAACTTGACTTGTTTTTGCTCAACTTTTATTCTAATTAAGCTGATAAACGTTTTCTCTAGACTATTTGAATTCACAGAGTATTTAACAACATCAACTACTCATGTTCATTCAGGGATAATCATCTGCAAGTCTAACACAAATGGGCTGCTGTGGTTGTTTTGGGTTTTCATTTGCAAAAAAACACAAGAATCAGAGGCCAAGGGTACAGGGGGGAAATTATGTTCTCCAGGGGTTATTAAATGAAGAGGTGGAAGAAGATGAGGAGGAAGAAGAAGAAGAAGATCATCACTCATATACTGACAACATGACAGATACTGAAAAAGGAGATCATGAAGAGCTTAGAAGCCCTGCTAAAACCTCTCAAGAGATTCTTATTTACAGGACAGAAAACGGATTAATTTGCAGAGAGTTTCCTGTTAAAGAAACCCACAAAGTTATTCGATCAGAGGTAATCTTTGTCCTTTGATCTCAATTTGGCTTCTTTTCACTTTTTTTTTTTTTTTCAAAAGATTCTTATATTAGTTTTTTTTGTTACTTTTAGGATGAAAATGGGAACAAAATGGTGAATGAGTATGTTCGCGAGTGTAAAATTGGAGCTGGTAGCTATGGCAAAGTGGTAATTTACTAATTTACTTGATTTCTAGTTAATTATTATAACCCTTCACATACAAAAAAAAAGTTTATTAAATTATTAATCATTTAATGCTTATTCATTAAACTTACATGTTCTACAGGTTCTTTATCGAAGCCAGATTGATGGGAAGCATTATGCCATTAAGGTTCTTGGATCATATTTCAAACTAGGAATTGCAATTTATACTTTATAAATTTATAAAATGTTTGTAAATTTGTAATAAGAATTAAGAATAATCACCATGTTCAAATTTGTTAATGCAGGCTTTTCACAAATCTCATTTATTAAAACTACGTGTTGCTCCATCTGAAACAGCCATGACTGATGTTCTTCGTGAGGTAATTTAATTTAACCTTAAAAACATTTTTTTTTTCTTTTCCATTTTTGTTTTTTTAAATGTTTTTGGAATTTCCTCACAGGTTTTAATCATGAAAATGCTAAATCATCCGAATATAGTGAATCTTGTTGAGGTGATTGATGATCCTAACACAGATCACTTTTACATGGGTATGAACTATGAACTATGAACTCTTACTTTCATGTTGATTTTTTAATTTCTTTTTTTTATATAAATGATTAATTTATTTATTCGTTTTTTAGTTCTTGAATATGTTGAAGGGAAATGGGTGTTTGAAGGTGCGGGCCCGCCAGGTGGCCTAGGAGAAAATCTTGCAAGGAGATATTTGCGCGATATAGTATCTGGATTGATTTATCTCCACTCTCATGTAAAATTACAAAACCATTTTATTTTAAAATAAATAAAACATTTTTCTTTACAAGATTTGAAAAAAAAAACATTTTCTTTAAATCCAAGATTGCATCTTTATCGTTGTAATGATCACAAAATCTTGATAACAAATAAATGAATTGATATTCTGTGCTCTTATTTCCTTTTTTATTTTTTATAAAATTCAGAATGTTGTTCATGGAGATATAAAACCTGATAATCTTCTGGTAACTGGTGATGGGAAAATAAAGATTGCTGATTTCAGTGTGAGCCAAGTTTTTGAGGTAATGAAATTCGGTTTACTTCTTGATATTATGTTTAATTGCAAAAAATAGCAAATATAATTTTATTGACTTTTTTATTATAGAATCCTACTTTCATTTTTTTTAAAAGTATAATGCCTTAATATAATAATTTTCTTGAAAGTACAATGCTATAATAGAAAGAAATGAAAGTAGGAAAGTAGGTTGCTATTTTTTGCATTTAGTTCTAATTAATTGTTAATCATATTTTTCTTAACCTTCAAAAATATATTTGTAGGATGAAAATGATAAGCTTCGCCGCTCCCCTGGGACGCCTGTTTTCACCGCTCCCGAGTGCTGTCTAGGTAAATAAATATACACGACAAAACATGACAGAACAGAACAAAACAAAACAAAACAGTCTGTACATGACATGACAGAAAAGACAGTACCAGAACTAGGACTAGGACTGACGTCAATGCAACAAGATTTCAACTTTTTGGGATGGGATGGTGACTATCCCTCAGTCTCTAGTCTGTGCAAAAGACGAAAATGCCCTCGTTGTACAACATAGTTTCAACATTTATTTTTTTCTTTTTTGTTTTTTTAATAAATAGGTAAAAATTATCATGGTAAAACTGCGGATACATGGGCGGTTGGAGTTACTTTATATTGTATGATATTGGGACAATATCCTTTTCTTGGAGACACACTACAAGATACGTACGATAAGGTATAAAAAAATTTCTTTTGTAATGTTTTAAATCTTATAATATTTTTTAAATTAATTTCTCGTTTTATTTTGCAGATTCTTAATAGTACTATATTTCTCCCCGATGATATGAACCCCATGCTCAAGAACCTTATCGAAGGGCTTCTCTGCAAAGGTTAGTTTTTTTTTTTTTAAAATGTAAAAAGAATGACTTAATAGAGACGGTAAGGGAAATTACGAATTTGCCCTTTGTTTGAATAGATCCTATGGAGAGAATGAGTCTCGAAACGGTTGCAGAGCATTCGTGGGTGATGGGAGATGAGGGGCGGGTCCCGGAATATGTTTGTTGGTGCAAAAGGAACAAGTTACAAAGGGAAGAAGAGAGAGAGATTATTAGTAATACAAATTAAGGTGATTTTGCTTTTTGTTTTATGGATATTTTTGTATATAGTAAGATGTTGATTTATTAATGAGTTTGATAAAAAAAAAAAAATAATAAGAAAGGGGATAATGTGAGATAATAGTTTGGAACTTTATAATATATGATAAAAAATCATATTTTGGTTTGTTGTATACCTCTTAATTATATTTTTATCAATTTCACTAATCCATGTTGTATAGAGTAGACTAGCTAAAAAATTAGCTTTTTTCTGAAAAGCTAGCTTTTTTTCTGAAACAGCTGGTAAAAAATAGTTGATAACTAGATGACATATAAAATGTTTTAAAACGACATTAGCAGGAAATGAACTTCTAATGGTATATTTGGAAAACGTTTTGTGATTTTTTCATTAAGACTGTGTCTGTTTTTGAACTGGTAAAATGTTTTTTTTTTTTTTTTTTTTTTTTTTTTTTTCTTATATCTATGGAAGAAGATGTCGACCAAAAATCTTTTTCCATGTCTTTATAGAAAAGTCTGTTCATAGAAAAAATATTGTTTATTTTTTAATTTGTCTTTTCAAAATGACCGAAGTTTACCAATATACATAACTTTACCAATATATATATATATATATATATATATATATATATATATATATATATATATATATATATATATATATAAACACCCAAATTATAAAAAATCTTTCTTTATATAAAAAAAAAAGAAAAAAAAAACACCCAAATTATACCAATATTTAGAAAAACATTTTTAAATAAAACATCCATAACTTTACTAATATATATAGAACTTTTTAAAAAAAAAAAAAAAACAATTTTAAAATAATGTAGATGTTCTTATTGTCAGTTGTCACTATTAAAAACAATATAGTTTTAAATCGTAGAATTTTTCTCGATACGCGTTTAGATAACATAACATTGCTACCTACTTTTTTTTTTTTTTTTTTTTTTTTTTTTTTTTTTTTTTTTTTTTTTTCCTTTTTTGGTAATCACCGTTGGTTTGTCCAAAATTAAGAAAACAATATCATTTCAACATATTTAAATCAAGACATTTTGTTTTTTTGTTTTCACTTGGGTAAAGAACACAGATTCTTGAGTCTAGACTCTAGATGACTCAATCCATTTTTGGAAATCGCCAAGAAAAACGCTTTCAATGACTTTTAGGATGAGGGGATAATCATAAATTTGACGACATTGATCGAAGAGTAAAAAACAGGTCAGAAATGAGATGGTTGAGTTGAGTGGTGATTGAAGAGGAGTAGGGTGAGTTAATTTCAAAGAGTGGATTTCAAAGTTTAGATCAAAGTCAAACAATACCCGTATTTAGAACTTAACATCATGAATGAGATAACAAACAATGTTGATCTACAAGTTGAAAAACAAGCATGCTGAAAGATTTGGGGACAATTAGGATTAAAAGAGAAGGGCATAACATACCGAACGAAAGTGGAGTGTAGAGATGGAGGCGGCAGCCAGAGCAGGCCGGTCCAAATGTAGTTGGAGTCCGGGGCAAAAAGAAAAAAAAAACGGTCCCTTACAAACAAATATAATAAAGATTAAAAAAATATTATTTATTCTTTACTATAAACGCGTTCAATTAACAATAACAAACAAGCCAAATTGTTTATATTTTGAGCTAGTTTAAGTTTGAACCAACTTTAGGCTCTAAATTTTGGGTCCCCTACAGACATGGGCCTTGGACGGTCGTCTGGGTTGCTCACCGTCTGGACTGGCCCTAGCGAACGTCAAGAAGGAATGTCAAAGGTTGCAGCGAACAGGAGAGTTGATGAAAGGGAAAGCAGTCGATGATATGCTTTCAAGAATGGAAAGTGTTATTTTTAAGTTTTTTTGGAAAAGCGATCAAAAAATCTTTTAGGTCTTTTGTTTTAAAAAACGAACAGTATTTGAAAAACATCAACCATCCGTAGATAAGTGTCAAAAAAGTACTTTTAGTAAAAAAAACAAAAAAAAAAACAAAATCACACCCTAAGTAAATCTATTGAATTTCTTTTTGTAATACTTTATAATGTTAAAAAAATAAAAATAAACTTAAAATTTTATTATGGTAATGCATTATCTAAAACAAATTTGTTACAAAGTAAACCTTAATTCCACCTCTTTCATATCCTTGATTGTTATAAGTGGACCTTTATATAAACAAAGTATGTGTCTACATGTCTATAAAAATTCTAATATTTTGTGTAAAAAAAATTGTAATGATGTTACATACATTGATTAACAATCTTGAACCCTCTATTCTTTCTATAAACATCTTTCTTTGAATAGGTTAAATATCTAATAATTGTACAATTTTTGGACAAATTCATGTCTTTTTAAGTATTTTTTTTTCTATTATAAAAAATCAAATATTACTAAATTTGTGTAAATCTTGAAAGATTCTACAAGTGGTTGGATCATTATTCAATTCCCCTCTTTCTTCAATCAGTCACAATATTCCACTAATATCTATTTATGATATTTATTAGATATATGTAAATTTTAGAAGATTTGGCAATAAAACACCAAAATTCGCTCCAATCAAAATAGATTGCGTCTTTCATTATTCAATCATTTTTAAATTAAAATATAATTGTATGTATTTGGGATTTTATGAGAATTCTTTCAAAATTAGATATATCGGGCAATGTTTGTGTGCATTTTTATGTGATTTCACTAAATTCAAACATAAAATTCTAATGTGTACTTGTTTATAGAATCAATAAATATTTGATCAGACAACCATTGGAACATTAAGTTATCTAATATCTTTTTTTTAAAAACTACAATTTTATAAAAATCACCGAGCAAGGAAGGGCAAAGAAAAATAAAAAAAAACACAATTGCATGATATTAACCCAATCCCCCCCACTTACAATCACCAAAGTTTCCTCTATTTTTAACAAACTATGTACCAAAGTTATGATGTTATCCGTCGTTTTTACGATCGAGACTCGAATTTTATTGAAGAGTTGGTCGTTCAACGCCTTCCAAACACACCACAAAAACCCATAAACTCTCATATTCTTCATGAGCCTTTCCATGACATCGTACAATCCTTGACTAATCTTCGGATGATCGAAAACATTGGGAATCCATTGATATTTTGCATTTAGGTATTAAGCAACCGCACACATACATTTGGAACTACCATTTTTTTTATCGATGATGTCCTAGATCTCTTTGTAAGAAGAGAGGTTGTTATCCAAGTTCTTTGCTATTTTTGTTTTGCACTCATCTATCGCCCCATAAATATATCTCATTACTAGTGTGTGTTCCCCATCAACAAGCCTTAAAACTTCAACAAGTGCATTGTAGTATTAACTGAATAAACCATACTAGACCAAAAAGTTCTTTCGTCAATCACTATTTTTTTTTTATCTATTTACCATCAGTTTTTTAGGCCCAAGAAGATGCCCTTGTTTGTTTGAAACAAACATTTGTTGTAATTGTTGTTTCGATTCGTAAATACTTTGTACCTTCATAAATGTTGTGTTGAATCTTGTGACAACCGGTCGAAGTAGATATTTCTTTAGAATCTTTTCAGGATAAACTTAACACCACTTATGGTTATAGATGAAATTGCTAACATTTTTTACTTTAATTAAAATATTTTTATATTGCATCAAATCCCCAAAAAAATTCAAGCATAAAAAATAAGCAGTACACAGATTCCAATACAAGTTTTTTCTCTTCTCCATTACGAACACTTCAAAAACTTTGTACGCATTAGCATTGTCAGTCACCACTTGAACGACATTATCTTCTAGGATCTCTTCAACAACTCAATTTTTTTTAGCTTTCTTATGCAATATGATACTTCAACAGTTCTAAAAAACAGTTACATATTTATTGTTGACCAAAAAGTTTATCAGACTTCAGTTTCTCATGTACGACCATCTATCTGATAATACTAACACCCATGTTGTCTTTCCGATATATCTAATTTTGAAAGGATCCAAGTTTGTAACTCGTGCATTGAAGGGGGTTTCAATCCTCTTCCAAAATTTCCAACCGAACGTAACATACTAGTAAATGATGGACTAGTTGCTACTTTAAACGAGATTTCATTATCGTAAAAGAACCTCCCAATATCCAAGCAAACTTAGTTTCGGTGCTCTTTAGCACTCGTCGGGTGATTTTTTCACAACGTCCTTCTTCACCATCTACTGCACTCATCATAAATCTATCAATTGGTCCTCTAATACCCCTAAAGCTAAAAGTTGTAAATAATGGATAAACACTTCTGCAACCACTAAATATGCCCCACTTGCCATGTTTTCTTTAAAGTTCATTTGAGCAGATAATTTAGCATCCTAAAATGTTAGATAAAACAGAGCTGAACCAAGATCAAAGAGCAAACTTACTTGGCAATGTTAACTTGGCTGAAGAAGATGCCATATTTCCGATTCCTTCTTCCCTTAACGGTGTGCTTAATGGTTTTCTGATGGAGAGAGTTATATCTAATGGCATCCACGATCATCATATTTATAAGGAGCCTTAGCATAAATTAAGAGCCCTCAAGCATCAATGAAGAGACCTTCAAAATCCTCTGGATCGTATGTATGCCATGGTGTTAACTTCACCAGTTACACCTTAAGAGCAAGATATATATGTGACAACCTGAAATTTTTTGCTTTGAAAGCTCAGTCAGTTAACTCAACTCAGTGATAGACTCACTCCTGCTATCCTTTAGCACAATTTGGAGACTGTTTGAGTGTTCTGAGCCTAGTACACTAAAGGAATGAGTGCTAGGAAGTACCAGCTAGAACCATTGAACAATGATCAAGCCTAAATCACCAAAACAATGAGTTCACGGCCACCACATTGGAGTTTACGGCATTAAAATCCATAGGGGTCGTAAACTCACCCTATATATTCAAGTGGTGGCCATTTCTTTCATTTCTTTCTTTCCTTGGCCGATTTTCCCTTATTCTCTCTCAACTATCATCCAACTTTCACCTCAGATCTTCAAAAGTGTAAGTGTTCTACCCCTTGATTAGTTTATACATCTTATTTACTAGCTTCATACATTGATTTCATCCATGAAAATCATGTTTGTTTAGATCTTCAAGTTTCACCAAGAACACCAAGAACACATACTAGTGTTCTTGGCAAAGATCGACCATTTCAAGCCTCTATATCATAAGTACTCTTCCCTACACTTGATATCTAGTTAGGACTAATGCTTAGAGCCTTGAAAACATCACCAAAATCATCATTTAGAGAGTTTACGGCCCAAGAGTAAACACCCTTGGCCTTAAACTCCAAATATGGTCAAGTTTTGGACCGTAAACACATATACGCTCTTGTTTAACCTTAGAACACTTGAACCCTTGAGACTCTTACCTTTAAGACCCTAAATATGACCAATTAGAGAGTTTACGGCCAAGAGTAAACTCCCTTGGGCCGTAAACACCTCAACACTCTCCAATGAGTGGGTCTTTCTCATCCTCTAGTAGAGCAAAAGTCCCTTAAGCTTCCCTAGCCTTCAAACAAACACTTATGCATGTTTGACCATGAGTTTACGGCCGTAAACTCCCTTTGGCCGTAAACCCATGGTAGTAAACTCTTGTTAGAGTCATTCCACACTCCTTAGTCCAATCACATGTGATTTCAACACTCGGTCAAAGTGTTTCCTAGTCCCGTGAGGTGTTTCCTTGCCTTTGGTTACCTCCAAACCTTATATTTATGTCAATATATGTCATTTAGGACTTGTTAAGTCTCGGGACATCATTTGTGGAGCTTCTCATCCTTACACGCATACCCGTTTGAATTACCCACATCAGGTGAGTTCATACCCCGTAATGAATCTTTTAAACTATTTTAAATGCTTTTAGGGGGGAGGGATACAAGTTGAACACAATTTATAATTGTGTAATTGTTTTTTAAACATCTTTTAAAGGATTACTTATGTCTTTTATAAGTAATCAAATCATTTCAAAAGCTCTTTTAAAGTTATGTTACTTTTTAGTTTAACAAAACTCCATTTTAAAGTACAAGCATAACTTAGTAAAACGAGTATTTTCAACAATAGTTCAAGTTAAACACTAGTAAACTATAATGTGTATAGTTTAGAGAGTCAGTTCATACTAGATACAATACACGATAACATAAGAGAACACACAATAAAGAGAAAAAAGGAGGAAGATACAATACACGACAACATAAGAGAACACACAATAAAGAGAAACAAGGAGGAAGATACAATACACAATAACACGAACATACTAAGATACTATAACAGAACAAACATAATAAGGTGCTATAACATGGGACAACTACAGGATCTAATTATACCAATGAATCACTGACACATTGTTCTAAACAAATGGTGATAGTTATATTGGGTATACATGATCACATAACTTTAATATGGATATTATGGCCTAGCAATTCGTTGCGGAAGCCATTCTTGATTCCCAGAATCTCTTGTAGGGAAAACGTTTAGTATGGGAATTACTTATCACATTATGACCTTAATAAAACAAATATGTTTTAAGGTAATTAGTACGATCAGTATGTCAATTTATAAGATTACTGAGTACTTATATTTTCCCATTACTTTCATAGAGTGACAGTTCCACTTGAAAGTTAATGCAAACTATTTTCGAGTCAAAATAGTTATAAACTAGGGAAAACTTACATTTTTTTACAAGCGACAAACGGAACAGTCAGGTCTAGTACATTCAGTAGAAAGGGACCATAATGCTAACCTTATGATTCCTTAATGTATACATCAAGAGATATATATTAATAATATATGATAGGTAATAGGATGTGTGCTTTCCGCTTCATTTCTTGTTCCTTGT